CAAACCCATGTGCCAGCAAAAATAAGAAAAAGAAAAAAGAACAAGGGTGACTTCAGGGCACAGGAGGGGCTGGCTTTTGAGAGGAGCACAACTATCCCTCCTTTAGGAGAGACAGAGGCAGAGGCAGAAGACATGCACTTGCCAGTGGGTAAATGTGTGGACTTGATTACTATTTTCACAAAATATGAAATGAGGCCAGGCTCAATGGCTCATGACATAATCTCAGCTACTTAGGAGGCAGAGATGGAGAGATGCATTACAGTTGGAGGGACTGGAAAGTTATTGAGCCCCCATCTCAACAAACAAGCTGGGCATGGTGGCGTAAGCCTATCATCTACTCAGGAGGCTTAGGCAGGAAGATTAAGGTCCAGGCTGGCCTTGGGCAAAAACATGAAATCCTACCTGAAAAACAAAGTTAAAAAGGGATGGGAAGACCGGTGACTCAAACCTATTATCCTAACTACTTAGAGGCTGAGACTGAAAGGATTTCAGTTCGAGGCCAGTCCAGGCAAAGAGTTTTCAAGACCCATCTCCAAATTAACCAGAGCAAAATAGAGTGGACGTGTAGCTCAAGAGGTAGAGTGCCTGAGTTCAAACCCCAGCCCCATCCAAAAATTGAGACAAATAAAATAAAACCAGTACTACATGATGAAGACTATCTATCTCAAATCAATGGTCAGCATCAGACTTCATGGTTGAATCCTAGGGAAGATGGGGACAAAAAGAGCATGACCATCCTTGTCATTCTCCTCTTACCAAGGAGGCAAGAGAGACTTGACTTACAGAAGTTAGAGCAACTTGTCCAGGAAGCTGGTAAATGGCAAAGTTGGGATTTTGCCAGATCTAAATAACTGTGAATCTGTTGTCCAGTGCTCTGGCAACAAACGCCCTGAGTGAACAGTAATAAGGATTCGATGCAGACAGAATCGCCTGTGTCTTCACTCAATCAACACTTGTCCAGCCAGAGGTCATTGTGCCTGAGAGTCTCAGAGGCTTCCAGCTCAGGGAGATCTTGTGAGCTGTCAGGCGAGGGGGCAGGGGTTGCAGGATGGAAAGTATCAGGCTGGGGAGGGGAGGTGTAGAAAACATAGATTATACTTCTCCGACTGTAGTTCAACGCTACTTTCTGAAAGGCTAGAGAGTTGGTTTGCTTCAAAACACAAACGTACTTCAGAAAAGAAAAAGAATTTTTAAAGACACTCATCTTTCATTCTCTTTCTTCACTCACAGGGCCAGATAAGTGGTATTTCTGACATGGGCTAGAGGCAGAATACTCTATAAATACAAAGCCATTAAATCCCATGCAGCAGGAACCTGATCAGGGCCTCCTTTTAATTTCCTGACATGAGCTGGCCACTAACCCAATTACCCAGAATCCCCCGAGGAGCCCTCCGCCTTTCCAACAAGCACAAAGAGAGAGAGAGTGCATATTGCATGGATGCTGGCCCAACTCTCACTGAAATCAAATATCTTTTAGAAAACACTAGGGAAGTGAGGAGCAGCAGGCAGGGGTGAGTGGGGAGGAAACAGAGTAACCCCTGGGGCTGGTGGCTGGAGGGAGGGGAAGTGAGGAGAGAAGGTGAAGTTTGCAGGGTCAGGCTAACTAGGGAGAGTTGCTGGAATCCCAGAGCCCTATTGAAGACTTGGGGAGTAGCCCAGAAATGCAGCAAATGAGTCTCCAGAGTTCTTCTGGATTGGAGGCTCCCAAATGCCAGGGGACCCTCCCATCCTGATTCCAGAACCAAGACGGGGCCAACCCAAGACAATGCCACCCTCTAAGACTCCCACTAGCAAGTCCAGGAAAAGAATCAAGGAGGCTGGACCTCAGTCTGCCTCACTGAATGCAATGTGCAGGCTGCTGACACGCCAGCATGAAGGAGACCACCTTTGAATCCGATGCTCTGAATGCCCCTGGGAGCTGACAAGGCAAAGCAAAGCCACAGTGATTCCACCAAAAGGAGCTGTCCCATCCAGCCTCAGCTTTACTGGTGATGCCCAGTAGGCTATCAGTGTCCCTGTCTTCTATGGAGGCATATGGGTTCGAGAAACTACATAGCAAGCACACCTGCGAGCCAGGAAGAGAATGGCAGCCACCAGGTCCTAACCCAGTTTAGATTTTGTCTTCAATTCTGTATATAAAGAAAAAAATCATTTTTTCCCTGAAAATAGATTTTGGTATACTGGATTCACATAAAGGAAAGTCAGACCTTGGGACATCGACTCCATTGCACAGCCTGTCCTAGTGCCCCAGAGCAGTGCAAGGGGAGGACAAAGGGAAGACACTTGGGGCACAGGATCAGTCCCCAACTAGCAATCTGGTAAGCCCTGAGACCAAGAAAACCACACATCTAACCTTTTCTCTGGTCATTGCTGGGGCCCCTAAACCATGGAGCAGTCTCTCAGGTGACTATTTAAAAAAAGGAAAGCTGGGTGCTGCTGGTGTCCACACCTGTAATCCCAGCTACTCAGGAGGCAGAGATCAGGAGGATCAAGGTTCAAAGCCAGCCTGGGTAAATAGTTCATAAGACCCTGTCTCAAAAATACACAACACAGCTAGGCACCAGTGGCTCATGCCTGAAATCCTAGCTACTCAGGAGGCAGAGATCAGGAGGATCGTGGTTCGAAGCCATCCCAGGCAAATAGTTCGTGAGACCCTATCTCAAAAAAAACTCTTCACAGAAAAGGGCCGGTGGAGTGGCTCAAGGTGTAGACCCTGAGTTCAAACCCCAGTATCAAAAAAAAAAGGAAAAGTTATCAATGATCTCGAGCTGCTGCATAGAAGAGGCCAGACTTGTGTAGATGATAGGAAGGACAAACAGCATTCACACTCTGAGTCCCTGTAAGGTGACACAGGCCCCAACTCAGGGCCACTGTGGGATCCTAATGCAGCTGCATGGAAGAGTGCAGTATGCTTCTTGGAGTCAAGTTGGAGACTAAGGGAAGACAGAGGGAGGAGGGAGCATAAGCTGGCCCGGGGGCTGAGCCAGCACACACAGCCCGTAGAGACACCCAAACAAAAGCCAAAAGCTGGAGCCGGGACAGCTGGCAAGAGCCTCTGCTTGGCAGGGACTCAGGCTCTTGAGTGAGGCTTGCTCCTCCTGAGGACAGGTCCCTGTGGAGCCCCCATCCCAAGATCTGGCCAAGGCTCCGGGGGGACACACACTAAGCCAAGTAAACAGCTCCCTCCACTCTCAAGAGGCTGTGCGTCATCTTTCGCCTTTTGGATTTGGACCTGCCAGTCATGGAGGAGTGAAGGGAGTGGGAGTGTTCTGGTGACTGTCCCTTCCTCCTGCAGCCACAGCTCCCTAATGGGCCTCTTCAGGCTTAGTACAACTGCCCAAGGAACATTGGACTGCCACCCTAGGTGAAGGCCAACAACCACTGTAAGTGGTAGGGGGGAGGGGCCCTTCCTACTCACATCAGTTCAGCCATCATGCTTGGGTCCCAGCAGCACCCCTCACACACCACAATCACAGAGACATGTACCAAATAGTTAGAGAGCCCCCCATCTCCAAAAATAGCCAGAGCAAAATGGACTGGAGGTATGGCTCAAGTGGTAGAGTGCCTGCTGTGTAAGAGTGAAGCCCTGAGTTCAAACCCCAGTCCCACAAAAAAAAAAAAAACCCCAAAAAACAAAAAATTTGTTTTATAGTTGCAGAGGCTGGGGGAACCTGGCATGTAGAAACAGAAGTGGGGGGGGGGTCCCAGTTTCCTCAACACACAAAGGTCCATTCAAGCTGACTTACAGGCAAAGCATCTAAAATCCTGGCCCCTTCTCCAGAGGGCTCTGGGAAAGTGTTAGGAAGAGTGTCCAGTGTCCAGGCTTTGTGAAGACGGGGCTGGCCTTTGGAGGTCCACTTCCACACTGCCCTCTCCCAGGCAGGGAACCACACTCCAGGCTCCTTTCTCTTCTTTGCCAACCACCCATTCCCTGACTTCCCCACATCTCTTTTCCTGCTTCTTCCTACTTCTGTAAGGATCCCAAGGCCCAGAAATTCATCTGAAAGACTTTCCACTGGCTCCCTTTAAAAGATGCAGAGAAGATATACACACATACATACTGTTCACCCCCAAAATGGCACTGAACAAGGTTCAAACAGAGTAGATCGACAGGGACAGTGAGGAAGGAGACCCAGCACAGCTGTGTACATAATGAACCACATGTCACCTCAAGTTTCCCAGGAGCCACAGTAAAGGAGGTGTTAACTTCACCCTTCGTTTTAGTTAACCGGGTGTATCCAGAATACCACCATTTCTGCATGCAACCAGTTTTTAAAATGACCACTACCACATTTTACACTGATTTTACCATCCTAAGTCTTTGAAATCAGTGCGCATTTTACACTTAGAACACACCTCAGTTAGGACTAGTGCTCGGTCACTATGTGTGGTTTGTGGCTGCCATGCTGGATAGTACAGCTCTAGAGAAGAAAGAGGTGACGAGGAGAAAGTGAGAGGAAGAGGAAGGCAGGTAGCGGGGACAGGAGAAGCATTCACCCAGAGGGAGCCACATCCACCCCCACCCCACCCCCAACAAACAAGGCCACTCTCTGCAGGTGAAAGGTAAGGTGCTGCATTTACTCTTCATAGGTGACATTAATACCTCTGGCCGTAATACCTCTGCCCTTCCATCCCCAAATACTAGCAAGCACTGGGAGTTAAACACTGCAACTCAAGCCTGCCTGTCCCAGGTGGAGAGGGCCCTGCCCCAAAGGAGGGCTTCCGAGAGTGACAAGCCAAGCCTGTCCAGGGCCCAAGTGGGGTCAGAAGTCCAGGAAGGACACGAAGAGCTCCCAGCTCCCTCCAGGAGTAGGACAGCTGCACTGGCTGTGGCAGGAGGCCTGCTTGCAGGGTGCAGGATGGCTTTGCAGGACGCACGTGCTGCCCTGGAGGGGGCCCACAGTTTGTGGGAGTCTCACAGGGCCTGAAAGTCCCCTGTGAGAAGATCTGAGCCCCTGTCCCCAGGCCTTGGCATGGGGCCTCAGCGTGGGGCCACTTACCTTCCTTCAGCATGCCCACTTTCAGGCATTTCATGAAGCGGCAGGCCTGGCAGGACTTGCGCCTCCGTTTTGTGATCTCACACTCGTTGGTGGCTGGGCAGCTGTACTCGATGTTCCCTGCAACACAGAGAGGGTTGCCAGGTGCCTGCCGTCCAGGACCCTGACTTGTTGGTAGACAGCTGGTTGGTGATTAACTGGCCAGAGCTATAACTCACCTACCTAGGGTGCCATAGGGCAGTGCTTCCCAAAGCAAGGGCTCTGAGCTGCCAGTCAGAGTACTTCACACTTGCTTCCTTCGGACTCCAGTCTGAAGGTCTGTCTGGGCCAGGCACCCACAGCCCTGAAACCACCACTAGACAGGGACATCAAAACTCACTGCACTGGCCTTTAATCCAGACAGCCCTGTGCAGACCACATCATCCATCCCTCTGCTTCCGTTGCTGGGAAAAGCCTTGTGGAAACTCAGCCCACAGGGGTCAGGGCCTGGGTTTTGTCGCCAGCTGGGAGGCCCATGCCAACCTTTGCTGACCTGGAGTCAATCACCTTTCTCCTACGGGTCTCGGTTTCCTCATCTGCAAAACAGGGGCTGACTCCTAACCAAAGGAATAGCAAGACCTTGAGTGAAAAGGTGCTTTAAAGCCAGGTGCCAGTGGCTCACCTATAATCCTAGGTACTTGGGAGGCAGATTTCAGGAGGATTGTGGTTCAAGGCCAGCCCAGGCCTCGAACCCAGTTCAAGACGCCTTAACTCAAAAACACCCAACACAAAACAGGGCTGGAGGAGTGGTAGAGTGCCTGTTTAGCAAGCATGAGCTGCTGAATTGAAACCCCACTACCACAAAAAAAAAACCCAAAAACCAACTTTGTAAAGTGTGAGCTTGGGGGGTGGGGTGCACCTAGCCCAAGTGGTAGAGCACATGCCAAGTGCAAGAGTGCCAAGGGCAAGCAGGAGGCTCAGTACTGCAAGAAAACAAACACTGGTGCAGAGTGTGGGTCAATAAGGATGCAGTCAATTTTATAAGGACATTTGTGTGTGTGTCAGAGAGAATTTGCGACTCATTTCCAAGTGGGTTATAATGGGGCTATCATCAACCCGACCCTGGGTTTCTAGGAGGCTGTGAGCTCTGTGAAGACAGAGTGTGTGCTGCTCAGTAAACTCCAAAAGTACCTGGAACAGGCTGGTGGAGTGCTCAAGTGGGAGAGCACTTGCCTAGCAAACTCAAAGCCCTGAGTTCAAACCCCAGTGCCACCAAAGGAAAAAAAAAAAGACAGTTTAGGGCTGGAGGAGTGGTTCTAGTGGTAAGAGTGCCAGCCTAGTAAGTCTAGAAAGTGTGAGGCCCTGAGTTCAAGCCCCTGTACTGCAAAAAAGTACCTGGAACCACCGCCTCCCAATAGGCAGGGGCAACACTAGGAGGAGGAACAAATACTCTCCCCATTTCACAGATGAGAAACCTGGGCCTTCCAAAGTGCTTATGGGCAGCGTGAATACCCAGTCTTATGAAATCTACTGACCTTCAAGTCAGGGAGACCCCTGGTCCTTATCAGCACCTCGTCCTGGGGAGGGCTTACAGGCCAGTCAGAAGGCTGTGGCTTTCTGACACCACACTTAAGCGTGCACTGTGCACCTGCATCACACCTGGTGCTGGAGGGCAAGGCCACGGGATGTCAAGTCAAGTCCCTCAAAGCAGCCCCACATAGATATCACCTTGGGAGGGGAAGGGAGAAGCTGGAAGCCTGCCTGTCCTCTGAACCCACCTACTTTATAGTAACAACATCTAGGGGTTATCATGCTCTTACTAGGTGCATATCTGCATTGGCTCCCTCCAATCCTCACCACAACCTGAACTGGCACACCATGGACCCATTTCACAGACCAAGAAACTGAGACATGGGGAACAGAAACAAGTTACCCAAGGCTGCCCAGAGCCCTACAAGGATAAGCCCCTGTTGCTAATCCAGAAGCTGAGGTGGCCTGGTGACCTGCAGGTGAGGAGGGCATCCTCAGGAATCCATCCCTGTGCCACAGCCTCTCCATGTGGGATATGGAAAAACACTACGGGATTTTCTTTGTTCCTTTTCTTTTGGGGGATACTCAGGGCCTCTCGCTTGCTAGGCAGGTGCTCTATCACTTGAGCCAAGCCCCCAGCCCTTTTTGCTTTAGTTATTTTTCAGATAGAGTCTCCCTTTTTGCTGAGGCTTGGCCTTGGACCTCTGCCTACTTAGCAGGGATTACAGGTGTGCACCACCATGTTGAAATGAGGTCTCACTAAGTTTTTTTTCCCCAGGCTGGTCTTAAGCCTTGAACCTCCTGATCTCTGCCTCCTAAGTAGCTGGGATTACAGTCGTGAGCCACTGCACCCATCTTTACACTACTGGATTTTCTAGGAATAAGTACAAACCATGTGCAACTACTGACAGAATACTTGAAAGGAAGAATGGTATTGGGCCCCGATGACAACAGGATTAACTGCATGGAGCACTCACCACAGCTGTGAGTACTCTTACACATTTCTACTGGAGAGGAAGCTGGCTTTCTTGAAGAGAGAGTTGGGTGGTGCAGGCACCCCCTTCCTCCCTGTCCCACCTCCTGAGGGAGGACTGGAGTCATCCTCTGTGTTGGAGGGGGAAAGGGATGAGGGGAGAAGGGATGAAGATTCTGTGCTCCTCACCCTCTTCTATCCACCCCTCCATTTACCAGAGTACCCACTTGTTTGACTTAGAAAACAACTTAATGCTCACACAAGGATTAAGGTAAAATTAAAGAGAAGCAGAAAGGAGGAAAACACATGAATTAACTGAGGCATTGTTTTGGCTTGCAGGGCTCTGGAGAATTTGGCCTCTGTCTCACTCCTCCCTCCATCTCCAGCCTCCCCAGCAGAGTGCCTCCACTCCCCAGCCACTCTGCATAATTACCAGTGCCAGGCTGAGGACAAACCCACCACACTCCCTCTGCCCCCACTGGGGAGGGAGGTGTTTCTTCTCTCTGCTGACCACCCACTACCATCCTATTGCCTTGTTCTGTCTGTCTCCTCCACCCAGGTCAACTCCTCTCTGCAGTCCAAATACTCAGCACACAGTAGGTGCTCAATACATCCTGACAGGGAACACGGACCAGTGGTCATTGTGGTACAGCTGCAACCCTAATTTACGTGTCTTTAACTTTCCCAACAACCCTGGAGATGAACTGATTTTTCTCCGAGTTACAGATGAAAGCCAGGTATGGTGATATCCGCCTGTAATTCCAGCACTTGGGAAGCTGAGGCAAAAGGATAGAGAATTGGAGGCTAGCCCATGCTACATAGTAAGACCTTGTCTCAACTCCCTACCCCCAAAAGAGGAATTTACAGATGAGAAAAGAGAGCAGAGTCCAGGTTGAGGGAGGGTGGGACTTGAACCCAGGAGGTTGGCTCCAGAGTCTGCTCCAGGCAACTGGCATTGCTTGGGATGCCCTGCACACTGCTAACTTTTCTCACACTTCCCCCCTCCCAGCTGCATAGCAGCTGCCATCCCTTGAGGGAGGGTGGACCTCATCAGATTGGGGTCAGGCATGTGCGTGGGTTTGGCCCTGGTGCTCTCCCAAGACAGGAGGACTGAATGCTTACAGCAAGTCTAGATTAAAGCACGATTCTTGGTCATCTGGTGGTGGTGGTTGTGTGGTGTGTGTGTGTGTGTTCTAATGTTATTTATTTATTTTTGTTCCTTTCAATTTGTTTTATGGCCACAGCGGCTGGCTGCCAGCAAAACCAGGTTGGTGGCTATGTCTTGTCATTTCTGTAAGTGCCTCCTTGATAAAGTGATGAGATTAATCCATCAGAGTTCCTGTAGTCTCAAGGGGAGTTTAGGGAGGGGACATGAGTGGTGGGTGCACACACACTGTGCCAACTCAAGTGTGGCAAGTTCATGGTGCACCTTCCCAGGACAGAGACATTGCCAACGTCTAGCATAAATTTAGGGTCCTAACCTGAGAGTGTGTCCACTGTAGACATGTACAGACTCCACTTTAGGCGAGGTGTCATTCTAACTTCTCTGTGCCTCAGTTTCCTCACCCGTAAAATGGGGACAGTTCCCATCTCATAAAGCTGGACAAGTCATGACTTAATGGAGTACATGGTAAAGCACTTGCTTAATGGGACAAAAGTCAGCACGCCAATTTTTAGATCCAGGTAGATCTACCCAAGTAGATACCAGAAGACATTGGGATGTGTCACACACATCTGCCGGCCCCTGTGGCTCACGCCTGTAATCTTAACTACTCAGGAGGCAGAGATCCAGAGGATGGTGGTTCAAAGCCAACCTGGGGCAAATAGTTCTCAAGACCCTATCTCAAAAACCCCAATACAAAAAAGGCTGGTGGAGTGGCTCAAGGGGTAAGAGCACCTGCCTAGCAAGTGTGAGGCCCTGAGTTCAAACCCCAAGGTGGCATCTGGACTCTTCCTGCTCCTAAGGTCCTTTTAATCCTCACTCCTTTCCCAGGTGCCACAGCCCCCAGACCCTCAATCCCTTGCCTGGCTCTCTCCACTTCCCTTTCCAATCCATCCTCCTGTGCCCCTGAAGGGATGTGAGGAAGCTTCCTAACCTAACCCCAGACAGACCTCTGTCTGGTTTGTCCCAGCACACTGAACCAGGCCTGCAGCATCCCAAAAGCCGCTACAGGGCAGCACTGAGAGAGGAATTTGTCAGAAGAACAGAGAAAGTAGGCCAGGAACCAGTGGCTCAACCTGTAATCCTAGCTACTTGGGAGGCTGAGATAAAGAGGATGGAGTTTTGAGGCCAGCCTGGACAAACAGACCCCATCTCCAAAATAACCAGAGCAAAATGGGTAGGAGGTGTGGCTCAAGTGGTCAAGTGGTAGAGTGCCTACTTTGCCATCTGCAAAGCCTTGAGTTCAAACCTCAGTTCCATAAAAAAAAAAAAAAAAAAACCCTGGAGGAAGTAGAAACCCAATTAGCTGAAATCAGAGATCCAGGTAAGAAAAAGGCATTTGTACAGCAGAGCCTCAGAAAACCTCAAGCTCTGAAGACTCAAGATCAGCAGAAGGGGAAGCAAAGTGGCAGCTGAACACCAAATTTTCAGGAAAGTCTGTATTGCATCATCCCACTGTCATTTCATGTGACCACC